GCCAGGCAGGAAGAGGTTAGGCAGAACTTCCAAACAGATACAACAGAGGACATGGAAGGAAACAGGAGGTGCAAGATGGAAGAGAGGTGAAAAGCCACTAGGCAAAACACAGATTAAAATAAATATTAATTTAAGTTATAGAAGCTAGTAAGACAAGCCTAAGCTATAGGAGCAGCTTTAATAAGTCTGTCTTTTGAGCTGGAGGCCCAAAGAAGTTACATAGGGTGCTGTATCCCCTGGAACTGGAGTTGCAGACTACTGTAAACTGTTGTGTGGGTGCTGTTATTTAAACCTGGATTCACTGGAAGAGCAGTCAGTACATTTAATGGCTAAGCTCCAGAACCCTGGAGTTCTTTCAAAGTATAATCTGTAAGGCTAGAAATAACCCGATTTCCAGTGGAGACAAGTGCTTGCTTGATCCCTTGAACAGCTTTCTGAATGCAGACCTGTGCCCATGAGATCCACCTAGGAGAATGAGGAACCTGACTGACTCCATTTTGATGGCACAAGCCACTGTGTTGTATATTTAAAAGTAAGTTTTGGGGCTGGAGAGATGGCTCAGTGCTAAGAACACTAGCTGGTCTTCCAGAGGTCCTGAGTTCAATTCCCAGCAACCACATGGTGGCTCACAACCATCTGTAATGAGATCTGGTGCCCTCTTCTGATGTGCAAGATATGCACATGCAGATAATTGTGTACATAATAATAAATAAAATCTTTTTTTAAAAAAGTTACTATTTTCTGTGAGAGTTGTGTTGCTCTCTGTTTCCAGGAACGAGGGTGGTTCCAACCTATGACCTTGATTTATTTTATATTTTACTCCTTAAAAGGGGCCCACGAGATAGATTCAGGGCTGCTCTCTTTATCCCAACTTAGAAGGCAGTTGATGGTCAGTTCTTGGGTGTAACCCAATTTAAAAAAAAGAAAAAAAAAATCAAGTTTGCTTCAAATTTGGCTCAAATTGTGATAGTGGTCTTATTCTCATTTGGGATTAACAATGTGAGTTGACATGCTGATTTAGAACACAGGAATCCCACACCATTGGGAAATAACCTTCCGGTTACACTTTAATGAAACCAAATAAATACAACCAAAGATCCAGTATCTCTAGCTGAATAAGCTGCTGCAGAAACAGTGCTGAGGACGCTTTAACAAACTTCTGCCACCCATGTGGTCTTGTACAGTTTGTTGCTGCTTTCACACATGCCCAAACACTAGGTACCCCAGTATGAGTCTACTAGGTAGCCCTTTAAAAAGGGTATTGGTTTCTATGGCCACCTGTTGGGGTTGAAGAGGTTTTTTATTTTCATTTATTTATTTATCGTGTGTCTGTATGCACACATGTGCTTCAGAAAGTCAGAGAACAACTTACGGCATTTGGTTCTCTCCTCCGACTATGTGGGTCCCTGGGAACCAAACTTGGGTTCTCAGGCTTTGCAGCAAGTGCCTTTGCCTACTGCACTGGGCCATCTTGTCAGTTCCAAGAGTAAGCTTTACTGCTGCTCAAGCCTCAAACCTCCCTCCTACAAAAAGAAGACATGGTGAAAGAGCTAGAAGAGAAAGAAGTTAAAGTGCACACAAGTGGCACTAAGGACAGCTGTTGCCCACTCTGCCTGCATACTTCAGATCCCCTTCCCTGTGTTAATTTGCCCTTCCTGGCAAAACTTCTGCAGACTCGGGAAGCTACAAACCGTTCATTTGAGGACCACATGGCTTCTACGCTTGAGAGCACCTGTTGCAGTTCTTCCAAGGCCCAGAACATGGAGGGCCCAGCTACCCACAGACGCCTCTATACTTCTCCACGCCCGTGAGTCCTCTGATGCCTTGTGAAAAAGCCCAGGTGGCGGAAGCCCTTCCCACAGTGCTCACACTCATAGAATCTCTTTGTCAAGTGCAGCCTCTGGTGGATGCTGAAGCCCTTGGGCCACCTGAAGGCCTTCCCACACTGGCCACAGGTATAGGGCTTCTCTCCACTGTGAATCCGCTGGTGGTGGCTGAGGTTCTCTTTAGTACGAAAGGCCTTCCCACAGTTGTCACAGTAGAACGGCCTCTCTCCAGTATGAACAAGTTTGTGGCGGAGGAGGTTTGACTTCTGTTTAAAGGCCTTCCCACAGTCACTGCACACATATGGACGGTGCTCAGTGTGGATTTTGCGATGCTGTGCCAGGCGGTCCTTCAAGCTGAAGGCCTGTCCACATACCTCACAGCAGAAGGGCTTTTCACTTGTGTGATTCCTCTGGTGGCGAAGAAGGTTTGAAACCCAGCGGAATGTCTGGCCACACTCAAAGCACTCAAAGGACCTGGTTCCAGTGTGCACTGTCTGGTGAGCAGCCAGGCGGCTGTGGCAGCTCAGTGCCTTCCCACATGTGCCACAGATGAAGGGATGTCCCTCTGCACCACTCTTGCACTGTTCCTTGAGGCCTAGCTGCTTCCTGTAGGATTTCCCACACAGCTGGTCCTGGAAAGCTTTCTGTTTGTCCACTTTCTTCCCAGAGGTATCTCTAGGAAGGTGCACCTTACCCGCTGTCAGGACACTCTTCCTCATGGTAGCCCCTCTCTTGGCTCCCATCCGAGGATGGGCCCTCTCATGAGCTGAAGCCAGATCACAAGGTCTCTTCTGATCTACAGACTTTCTGCCTCCTGTGGTGCAATAGACACATTTACACAGAGCTGGCCCAGGGACAAGCTAACTTACAAAGCAGCTATCCAACAAAAGATGAAGAAAGATCTATCAAGTGTCAATAAAAAAAAAAAAAAAAAAAGGCATGAAATTATGAAGCAAATGTGTTCCATGTACTCAGGTGAGCTAAAACTAACCCTGATGTTCACCTAACCCAGATAGTGGAAGACAAGTGCCTGGTACTCTGACACAAAAGAAACCACAAGTGTTCATTAAACTTGTGTCAGTTCAAGTAACAGGCCTTATTCCTACCATGGAGGTGGACCTGGGGCAGGTACTGAGAGCTAGCTCTCTACAAATTAGAACCACTCACCCTCTGAGCCATAAGCTTCCTGCAAACAGGCCTGACACACACAACAGCTGGGACTCCACATAATCTAGGGGCCCTCCCAGCTTATCTCAAGTAGACAAAACTGCTTGGTGTCACTTCTGGGAGGATATGAAGTAAAAACAAAATCCAGGACAGAGGTGTAGCTCAAAAATGCTTGCCTAAGGTCTTGAGCTCTATGCCTATCATGACAAAAAGAAAACAGAAGCTCCATGACCACTGGGAACATCTTACTAAGGAAAAAGCCAGGGCTTTTATCCTAATGTTACAAATGAGGAAACACATGTGAAACAGAGAACTCACCCTGGTATCACAAACCTGCAACATGTCAGATTCAGTCAGAGAGACAGACATACACACACTCTCTCTGCCCTGTCAGTGGCTATCAGTCAAATCACAATGCTAGGACACTGCCTCCTGTTCTCAAATACCTCCCTTCCACAACCTCACCACAGGGTCCATTGACACATGTACACACCCCTCCCATCAGAGCTTAGTGGTAGAAGTATGCCACTCATGTACCTCCAAAGTCCCTAATTAGAGCACTCTGTGGGATGCAGAGATGACTCTAAGGGTTATGAGCACTGGCTGTTCTTCTAGAGGTCTAGAGTTCAACTACATGGCAGCTCACACCATCGTATAATGAGGCCTGATGCTCTCTTCTGGCATGCAGGCAGACAGAACATAGCAAGTCAATACATCTAAAAAATTTTTCTTAAAAAATTAAAAAAAAAAAAAAGAAAGAAAAAGGTGTTCTGCATCCACTCTCTACCACTGTGTCAGTCTGTCTGAAGGTGGAAAAAGTGGCCTTGATCAGTGCTGGGAAATGGGACGGGCCAACCAAGAGCAGCCCACCCTCCATCCTGCTTACCTGAGCAGACACCTTTTCGTGCTTCTAGAAACTTAGGTATGTCCTGATCTTCAACCCATGGTTCATCCCACTGTTCCAGATGAGAAATAAGGTCTGGTCTAGGGCCACAGTATCCTTTTCAAAAAGTAAGAAATGCTATCTGGTGAGTGTAAAAGACAGCGTAAGGCCAGGACTCAGACTAGCTCTGGGCAGCACAAGATAAACCTAGCAACCCGGTCAGCCCTTGTAGATCCCCTGGATCAGCTGCTGGAAGTAGGAATAAGGAAGACAGAGGCTTACAGGAGGGAGAAAGGAGTATGCCTGCCTGCTCATGAGCACACACAGGCTGACACCACGCCCCATGCAGGAATCTAGCGGTTGAGGAAAGAAGTCAGGATACCTCCAGAGGAACCAAAAGAGATGCCCTTGGTCAGACACAGCACATGGGGCCTTTATCTAGAACCTACCAGACTCCAGAAGCTAACATGCAGCTCTTACCCAGTTCAATGAAGTTCCTAAAGTTTTCTAGCATCACTTCCCGGTAGAGGGTTCTCTGGCTGGGGCTGAGGCACTCCCATTCTTCCCTGCAGAAGTACATGGCCACATCTCTGAAGGTCACTGGCACCTGACACACAGATGGCTCCAGGACTGCCTGCTACTGAGTGAGAATGAGTCAGAAAAAGCATGCTAAAGCCTGTACACTATACATGAAGAAGGGGTAGGGTGGGCAAAGATCTCTTCGATGATTAACATTCCTTGAGAATCGCCTAGAAGACACACCCCTGTGGATGTGAGGGTGTTTCCAAAAAAGTCTAACCAAACCTGAATGTATGGACACGCATCCCATGGGTGTTGTTCCAATATCACAGAAAGGAAGAGACAGCCAGCTAACCATCAGCATTACTTCTCTGCCTCCTATCCAGTGGTAGCTCACACTCCTGCCTCCACAATGGTCTGTGTCCCTTCAAACTGTGACCCTAAACAAACCCTTCCTCCCTTGAGCTCCTTTTGTCACAGCCACAAGAAAAGTGACTGATACAGAAAACATCCTCACTGTGCTGGGTATATAATTCTGCAACTGTCTTGTGCCATTTGAAAATGAAATATGGAGTCATAGTGGTGCTCACCTTTAATCCCAGCACTCAGGAGGCAGAGGCAAGTGGATCTCTGAAGTTGAAGCCAGCCTGGTCTACAGAGTGAGTTCCAGGACAGCCAGAACTACACAGAGAAAAACAAAACAAAACAGAAAGAAAGAAAACGAACCACCATGAGCTGCTGCTGTTTGACTACAGGCATAGCATGACCTTCCTTTTAGATCATCCATTTGCTATCAAGAAAGTAAGATAATCTTGATTCTGTAGTCAGGACAACAGAATAAGCAAAGAACACAGTAATAACGAGGTGTACTGCAATCAGAGTGTTACCTCTCTCTAGCAGGAGGGAAGGGCCACTACACTCACTAGAATTTGACCCACACCCCAAGTTTGCTTGTGCTCAGCTGCATCTCTCCTTTTCACTTGATCCAGGGTCCAGTTAGTAAAACAGTGCTACCCACATTCAGGGTGGATATTTTCACTCAGCTAACCAATTAAGAACAGTCAGGTCCACTGTGTGGTGGTCGCTCACACCTTTAATCCCCACACTTGGGAGGCAGAGGCAGGTGGATTTCTTGAGTTCAAAGCACTGATGAAAATAAAGATGGGTTATGCTGGTATGGTGGTACACACCTTACAACCTGGGTCCTCTGGAAGAGCATCAAGAACTCAACCTGCGAGCCATCTTTCCAGCCCCCGGTACACACCTTAATCCCAAGATTTGGAAGGCAGAGGCAGTCAGATCTGCCACACTGATCTACTTATCTAGTTCTGGGGTAGCCAAAGCCACACAGTAAGACCCTAAGCAAACAAAAGTCTTTAAAATTAAATTAATTGAAAAATTAGACTGAAGTCTGGGTTGGGCAGTGATGGCACATGCCTTTAATCCCAGCACTCAGGAGGCAGAAGCAGGCAAATCTCTGAGTTCAAGGCCAGCCTGGTGTATAAGAGGAGTTCCAGGACAGCCAGGGCAATAGCTGTTCTCTACAGAGACCCAATCTCAAAACAAAGAGTTCAAGGCCAGGTGTCCCAGTTTCATTCTGCTGCTGTGATAAAATTCCGTTAAAAAAAAAAAATCTAGAGAAGAAAGGCTTATTTAGCTTACACTTCCAAGTTACAATCCATTGTGTGGGGAGTCAAGGAAGGAGGTCAAGATAGCTAGCCACATCATACTCAAATGCAGAGAACAAATAAAATGCTTATAACTCAAGCTTGCTTTCACTAATCTTTCCGAGTCCATGACCCCAAACCTGTGTCTGCCCATATCAATTAAGCCAACCAAGGCAATGCCCCACAGACATGCCTAGAGGCCAATCTAAGCTTAAGATCCCTTACACAGACATTCTTCCCGAAGGATCCTAGATTGTGTCAAGTTGAGAAATTAATCATTATACCTACTTTGCCTACACAGCTATGTCAAAGACAGCTTGGGATATTTAAGACCCGAAGCTCGGGAAACTCGGGTCCGGGTAGTGACTGCCAACCTCAAACTCTGGTTGATAAAAAAAGAACATTGCCCCTCATCGGAACACCTGAACTGGTGCCACGAGCCTTGTTGGACTTCGAGGCCTGAGAGCAGGGGAGTGTGGGAACTCCACCCAAAAACAGAAGACCGCAACCCTGGAGTGCAGGAGCCCAGGCAGACAGACCGAGAGCTGCCCGAGTGCAGTACCAGCGACAGGAAAGAAACCTGAGCGCGAGCGCCGTGGGGATCCAGGTGGGCTCGAGGCCGGGGACTGTCGGGAGAGGGTCCGTACTCACCGGAGGGGCCTCGCGGTGAGCCCGCCCGGGAGGAGCGCTGCCCCGTCGGAAACAGCGCTCGCGTCGAGCCTCCCGGGGAGCAGCGGCAGCGAGATGTGGGCGCATCTGTAGGCCGCAAGAGGTGCCGGGGTCGGGTCGGCTTCAGCGTAAGCGCGGTGACACGGAGCAGAGCAGCCCAGACCTGCACGCCAGACCGGCGACCGACGATCGCCGAGCTGCTGCAGCTTCAGTCCTCCCCGCCCTTCGGCTGCTCCGGGCAATCGCGCTGAGCCGCCCCCAGAAGGCCCGCCCTCCGGGAGCCCCGCCCTTCGACTGCTCCGGGCAATCGCGCTGAGCCGCCCCCAGAAGGCCCGCCCTCCGGGAGCCCCGCCCTTCGGCTGCTCCGGGCAATCGCGCTGAGCCGCCCCCAGAAGGCCCGCCCTCCGGGAGCCCCGCCCTTCGGCTGCTCCGGGCAATCGCGCTGAGCCGCCCCCAGAAGGCCCGCCCTCCGGGAGCCCCGCCCTTCGGCTGCTCCGGGCAATCGCGCTGAGCCGCCCCCAGAAGGCCCGCCCTCCGGGAGCCCCGCCCTTCGACTGCTCCGGGCAATCGCGCCTGCAGTGCTCCTAGTTGGTGTGCACCTGTGTCTTTCCCTTGCTTGCCTTTTTTCCTGCTGTTCCTGTACGGTATAGGCTGGCTGGGCTGTGGCGCTCCTGAGCCCTCATGAGCTCTCTAGGAGGTTTTTTCTTTTTTTGTTTTTCGGGGAGGGGCTGTTTGTTTTTAGAGACAATATTTCTCTGTGTAGCCCTGGCTGTCCTGGAACTCAGTTCCGCCTGCTTCTGCGTCCCTAGTGCTGGGATTTAAAGGATGTGTCCGCCACCACGCCCGACTTCTTATTTTTAAGTATGATAAACTACAAGTAATAACACAGCATCCATTTTTAACCTGTTGAGTGTAGCAGTAGTGTTTGGACCTGCAGTTTTGCGGTTTGCATCTTGAAAGCTCGTTATCATGAAAATCAGAAATGTTTCTGCCCAAAGAACTTTCCTCCAGTTCCTCTCCTGCAGCCAGTGCCACCAACATTCTTTGTTTGAAATTTGTCCTAGGATCTTCTCAACATGATGTTTGCCAGGTTCATTCACGTAGTAGCTTGGGTCAGGATTTCTCACCTCATTCTGTTCACTCATCGGTCAATGTTTGGGCCACTGTGATGCTAAATTTAATTCTAAAAATCCAAATTTGTAATTCTAGTTTAGGCAACACTTCATTCCACAGAATAAGATAGTCCCACAAGCTAAGCAGATGTCTGTTTTACAGAGAGAAGGTAGGTCTAAAGGAAAGAAAAAGGCTGAAACAGGTTGGTTTTGTCAGAGTTACTTACTTCCTAAGGCAGAGACCCACAACAGAAAAAAGCAACTGCAGGGATACTGAGTTGGTCAAGGTTGCTTTTCCGTCAGGGTTAAAGCAGAGTAAACTCTACTGCTGTTATTTTGTATAAATTTAAAAATATAAAAAGAAGGCGCAAGATGGGGCTGGTGCCGGCGAAAAGGAACATGAACCGTGGAGAGTACATTAACCATAAAGTTGATTACAGGTGGGAGAAGAGACAAGAACAGGGCAGAGAGGAGACAGGAAAGAGGGGGAGGAAACAGAAAGGGGGAGGAAGGGGAAAGAAGGGGTACAAGCTTTAAAAGAAAGCTGAGCATGCGCACTGAGACTTCACCAATGGGCAGAGTCCTCACGCTAGTCCGTAACGAGTGACGTGGCACATCACTGTGTGTGCCCCACCCGTTGTCAGGGGGCGGGTCTGTCTCTTAAAGAGGTCCGATTAGGTCAACATTAATGCCTGAACCCTTTCATCTACTATCATGATCGCTGAAATCCAACCTCTACCCATTTCCCAAAAGCTCAGATAACAACCTAGTTTCCTTTGATGCCTGACACTTTGCTGAGTCTGGTCAACTAAGGGCCCAGTGCAGGAGCCTAGTGCCAAACAATGGCTTTCTGTGGATTTTGTTGAACAAGGGTGTTATGAAGACAGGTGTACATTATCTGTTTGCATTCGCTTCTTTGGGCTATGTATTCAGGAACTAGGATTTCTGGAATTTTCTAGATTATGTATTAATTCTATGTTTGACATGTTGAGGAATCAGCACGGGCACGGTCTCTACATCAGATGCACCTGTGCTCTGAGCAGCAGACCCGAGATGTTCAAATCCCCCATCCTTACCATGTTAGTTTTCGAATTTGGAGTTGTTTCTGGGCTTTTTGTTTTGCTTAAATTGTAACCATCGTATTTGATTTAAAGAGGTATGCTGCCGGGCGTTGGTGGCGCATGCCTTTAATCCCAGCACTCGGGAGGCAGGCGGATCTCTGTGAGTTCGAGGCTAGCCTGGTCTCCAGAGCGAGTGCCAGGATAGGCTCCAAAGCTACACAGAGAAACCCTGTCTCAAAAAACCAAATAAAACAAAACAAAATAAAATAAAGTGGTATGCTGTTGGAAACACTCATCTTGGTATTGCACAAAGTAGCACAGAATAAAGCCAAAGCAGTTTTGTAAGAAGGGTGCACCAGAACCCAAATCCAACTAGTATAGTAAGTGGACACAGGCAAGAAATTCACCTGGTAATTGTAATGCAGGTGGTGACTATGTCCTCTTCTATTAGCTGGGTTCCATCTCACAGTCTTTTGCAATTGGCTTGTTTTTTGGTTGTTTCCCTTTTTATTTTAGAGGCATTCATTTACATATCCATCCCCCCATTCCCTAGCCCTCCCATCCTCCCATGTTCCCCACAACCCCCCACCTCCTCCCCAGGGACAGTGAGGCCCTCCACGGGGGACCATCAAAGTCTGTCATATCATTTGAGGGAGGGCCTAGGCCCTCCTTGCTGTATCTGGGCTGCAATAGTTTCCCTCCATAGGGAATGGGCTCCCAAAGTCCATTTGTGCTTTAGGGATAAACACTGACTCCACTGTTAGAGGTCCCATAGACTGCCCTGGCCTCCTAACTGGAACCCACATTCAGAGGGCTTGTTGGGTCCAATGCTGGTTCCTCAGCTTTACAACTAGGGTCTCCATGCTCTCACTAGGTCAGGTCAACTGTTTCTGCCAGTTTCTGAAGCACAGTCTTGGCTCCTTTGCTCATCCCTTCTCCCTCTCCGTAACTGGATTCCAGGAGTATAGCTCAGTGTTTAGCTATGGGTGCCGGCAATTGGCTTGTTTTAAAGAGATCAGTGCAAAAGGAATGAAGAGAAAATGGATCAGCCTTTTCAGGCTGTCAAGCTCCCAGAATGCAGCAGGGCCTTTGTATAAATATGTTTTACCAGGTAGGAGAAATGAAAAGGTTTGCATGAAAGTTTTACAGAGTGGGTAAGATTGAAAATAAAGGAGAAACCCTCTCTCAAAAAAATACAAAACAAAGAGCTAGGCATGGGTGGTGCAGGTCTTTAATTCCAGTTTGGGAGGCAGAGGCAGGTGGATCCTGAGTTTGAGGCCAGCCTGGTCTACATAACAAACTCCTGGACAATCTAAGCTACATTGTAGAAAGACCTTTCTGAAAAAGGAAAAAAAAAAAAAAACATGTGATGATGGAGACTTTAAAAATATTATCTGTTGGCAGGCAAGCTATTTTTTTCTTTTTTGAGACAAGGTCTCACTATGCAGTTCTGATTGGCCTTGAAGGTAGACCAGGCTGCTGTTGTCTGTTTTATTCATTTCCCATAGTGATTTTTGAAAGGGTTTAGTTTCAAGGTTCATGGGGGACACTGAGATGGATTATCCTTTTATAAAAGATTAGAAGAAATATTAATGCCATAGACAGGCAAACTGTAGCATTCAAGGGACTCTATGTAGCATTCAGGCTTACTTGGCCAAGTAGGGGTCTTTCTTACAGGTTTCAGAGGAAGAGGGTGAGAAGTAGGTTGACTTTCCTTTTTTGGTTGTGGTTGGCCATTTTTTTAAAAAGTTTTTAAAAAGTTACCTAATGTGTATGGACGTTTTCCCTACATGTCTGTGTACCACATGCATGGCTTATGCCCAAGGAGCCAGAAAAGCTGTCAGAACTACAGTTACAGATGACTGTGAGCCATGATATGACTGCTGGGAAATGAACCCCCAGTCCCTCTGGCAGAGCAGGGTGGGAAATTAATCTGAGCTCAGGTTTTGTTTTTGTTGTTGTTTGAGTGCTGGGATCAAAGGTGTGCACCACCACCACTTGGACTCTGAGCTCAGCTTTAATATACGCGCGCACACACACACACACACACACACACACACACACACACACGTGTGGGGAAAATGGACTTTTGAAGTAAGTTAGCTTTTCATTGCTGTGGCAACATATCTGAAACTGACATGAGGATTTCTTTGCGCTCACAGTTTCAAAGGATTTATTTAGTCCATGGAGTTTGCTGCACTGCTGTGGGGCTGCGGTAAAGCAAAAACACCACCCATAGCAGGAGCAGGTAATATAGAGGACTGCTCACATAATGGCAGCCAGGTAGTACAGAGACAATAAGAGAAAGGGAATAACCCTCTTCCAAGACTGACTTTCTTCAACCCAGCTCCACCTTCTAAGAGCCATTCAGATTATAGGTGGGAACCACCCTGCCCAGTTTGGGAAAGTTGTTTTAATTTTTATTTATTATGTGTATGGGTGTTTTACCTACATGTACCCGTATACCACATGCATTTCTGGTGCCCATGGAGGCCAGAGGCATTGGATTCCCTGGAACTCAAATCATAGACAGTTATAAGCTGTATGGGATACTGGGAATCAAACCTAGGTCCTCTGGAAGAGGTAAATAGCTTTGCAAAAGACCTATACAAAGGTCAGGCATGGTGTCACACGCCTTTAATTCCAGTGTGCAGAAGGCAGAGACAAGTGGATCTCTGTGGGTTTGAGTCCAATCCAGTCTACAATCTAATCTAGTCCAACCAGGGCTGCACAATGAGACTGTCAAAAAACAAACAATAAGACTAAAACTAATACAAGTTGGGCATGGTAGCCCATACCTATAATTTCAATACCTGTAAGGCTGACACAGAAATATCACTTAAGACCAGCTGAGCTACATGGTAGTACCATCTTAAAACACAAAACAACAACAAAATAGAATGGACTGACAATACCAAGTGTTAGCAAGGACAGGGAGCAACATAGCAGGAACATGGGACAGTACAGCATGAGAGCTCTGTGCAGCAGCTTCTTATAAAACTAGAAAAGTACTTAGTTCAATAGACTGGACATATGTATCCTATTTTGAAATCTTATTCCCCAAAGGTGGGGCTTTGGGAAGTGACTGAATTTTAAGTGGAAGCTCCAAGACTGGGATTTCTGCCCTTACAAGAGGCTAGAGAAATCGTAGCTAGGTTGCAAAGAGAAAGCATCTACCTACGAATGCCTCATTAGACCTTGGGTCCCTCAGACTCCTACTTTGCAAAATACATTCCTACTGCCTGTAACCCACCCACCCAGTTTACATTAATTTGTTACAGTCACCTAAGACGGTGACTGTAATTTTTTTTTTAAGATTTTATTTATTATGTGTACAGTCTTCTGCCTACATGCCAGCAGAGGGCACCAGATCTCATTCAAGGTGGTTGTGATCCACCATGTGGTTGCTGGGAATTGAACTCAGGACCTCTGGAAGAACAGTCAGTGCTCTTAACCGCTGAGCCATCTCTCCAGCCCTGATAAAAGTTGTTTTTACCTGAAAGAAACACACATGTGCAAATGAATGCTTTTATACAAATGCTCATAGCACTTTATTTTTGAGATTGCACACTGGAAACCCAATTTCCATAAGCAAATGGACTAGTGAGCACATGATGACCTAGCCATACAATGGGCCCCTATTTGGCAAAGAGAACTACTAATGCAATGTTATTTGACAGAATCTAAAAACACTTTGGTCTCATGCCAAGGCGATCAAAGCCAGACACAAGGGCACCTACCTTACTGGTCCACGTGTAGGTGGTTCTAGGACAAGCAAAGCAATTCTACACTTAGAGGAAATGGCTACCAGGACAGAGGTTGGACTGACTCTGGAAAGCGCAAAAGGAGACTTTTCTGATGTAAAAGAAATAGTACTTTTCTTAAATGTGGTATTGCTACAAGGACAAAGGAACTTCTAAACAGTATAGATACTGTATTGTACTGAATGAAATGGCCTGATAACATTTGTGTCATGTGATGCTGAGTTTTCCAGAAAATAGGTATCATGTTCTTTTTAAATTATCTGCCCACTTGAAGCTTCTGGCTTTGCTGGAATTTGTTAAAAACTCAAAATATGCCCTTTAGAACAAAAATTATCATCTTCTTGTCTCAGAACTAGTTATTGTGTTTAATGCTCTGATCAAAGGAATCCAGAAGCAGAAACAAGCACATTTTCTGGCTGCATCCACCATGTACTGACCTGAGCAGCACAGTCTGTGCTCTGCCTGTCTGTGGAGGTAACTTCCCAGATTTCTGCTCCCAAGCTGACAGATGTCCACTGACTTCTCTGGACCAGTTAAGACATCAAGTCTGCTATGGAGCCTTCCTAGGTCTACAGTGCCACTAGTTATCTCCTTGTCTAGAGCTGTTTGTTACAAGGCCAGGTTCTGGGATCTGTCTGGCTTCCCCAGAACACTCCACACAGGATGCATGGCACCTTCTTACTCTCATCTTTCAAATACCTGAAACTGTTCCTCACAGATCATAATACATTTTCAAACAAGTAGTGTTAGAAAGAGACAGTTGAAGCTGGGAGGTGGTGGCTCACACCTTAATCCCAGCACTAGGGAGGCAGAGGCAGGTGGATCTCTGAGTTCCAGACCAACCTGGTCTACAGGAGCTAGTTCCAGGACAGCCTCCAAAGCCACAGAGGAACCCTGTCTCGAAAACAAACAAACAAACAAACAAAAACCCTAAGAAACAGTTAAGTCTGGAGCTGCTAAAATTAAAAAAGTGATGTAGTCATTAGGGCACTGCCCTCAAAGCCCAGTGGAAAGCTCTGAATGAGGGCCGTGCCACACCTGGTGGGCAGTAACTGCAGACAGAAGACTGTCAGCAACTCTTAACAAGAGCAGGTCCAATGGGACTTGGGACTTGTTCTACTAGTACTTACTAGTAGAACAGATCAAACGATGACAAGAACAACAGCCCAAAATTTAAAAATAGCAATAGAGAATGGTAGCAAGGTGTTGTACACATCTGTAATCCCAGCACTCAGGAGGCTGAAGGACAGCTATGAGTTTGAGACTAGCCTGGGCCCCATGGTGAGAACCTGTCTCAAAAAAAAAACAAACAAAGGGCTGGAGAGATGGCTCAGTGGTTAAGAGCACCGACCGCTCCTCCATAGGTCCTGAGTTCAGTTCCCAGCAACCACATGGTGGCTCACAACCATCTGTTATGAGATCTGGTGCCCTCTTCTGGTGTGCAGATAGACATGGAAGCAGAATGTTGTATACATAATAAATAAATAAAATCTTTAAAAAAAAACATTAACAAAACAAAACAAAAAAAAACAAAAACAAAACAGATGGATAAAGGATATGCCAATTGCAGACTTGGGTTTTTATTTTGTTTATTGTCATGTGCTAGGGACATAGGAATCAATGACATATGATCCCTGTCCTCAGGGAACAGAGCACAATGAAAAAAGAATTCAAAATTGTGGAATTTAAAAGCAAGTACAGTAGTGAAGTAAGCACTGAGAAACAGAAGCACAGGGCACAAACCCAGCTCAGTGCTAAGGGAGCATTTTGCAGCATGGTGCCTGAGAGAGGCCTCACATAATAATCAGGAGCAATTGGGAGAAAGGGGGAGACCCATCAGAAACAGGAGTGGGAACAGCCTGGAGGATGTGGGCAGAGGTACATCAAATGTGTTACCAGGAGTCAAACAGTTGAGAAAGCAAAGGCCAAGGAGTATAAACCCCATGGCTTGGAGTTTAGTCCCAGACAACAGGAACCAACTGACACTTTGCATGAGAAAAAGCCCCTTTCCTCAACCTTTCAGATAGGTAACCATTTCTCAAGCAATACAGCTCTGCTCTGAAAGGGTTTAAATCAACGGTGCACTGTAACTTCAAAGAAAACCTAGAAAATTCTCTAGAGGCTTTCCCTAAGTGTTCAGCTCAAAGTCAACTGTCCAGTCCCTCAGTTTTCCTGCTATGGTGACAGACAAAAGCAGCCCATCTGTGACTCAGAAAACTGTGACGTCCACATCTTAGATATACTAGGTATATATGCCCATTTCCAAACAGTGATTACTGACTCCAAGAGTAATTATCTTATAAATTATCTGCATGACACTCCTGATCTGTAGCTCTCTCTCCTAAATGAATGGAAGTCTCACTCAGGGAAAGATCCTCCTGGTGGACAAGATCTGGGGGTGGCGTAAGATCTTTTCCATGCTGACTGTACTTGTAGAGCTTCTCTTCAGTATGCACCTTCTGGTGCTGAAGGAAGTTGGACCTCTGTATAAAGCCTTTCCCGCAGTAACTGCACACATAGGGCTTCTCTCCAGTATGGACAATTTGATGCAGCAACAGCTTAGAGCTCTGGATGAAGGCTTTCCCACAGTCTTTGCACTCAAAGGGTCTGTCTCCAGTGTGGATCTTCTGATGCTCAGTGAGGTGGGCCTTCTGCAGAAAAGCCTTGCCACATTCTTTGCATTCATACACCCGCTCACCAGTGTGGATTTTCTGGTGTCGTATAAGGTATGAACTCAGAAAGAAGGCTTTCCCACACTCGTCACACTCATAGAGTTTTTCCCCTGTATGGATTCTCTGATGCTGAGTGAAGTTGGATGTCTGACTGAAACGCTTCCCACACTCATTGCATACGTAAGGCCTCTCTCCAGTATGAATTCTCTGATGCTGAATGAGCTTTGAGCTTCGAATAAAGGCCTTCCCACACTCATGACACTCAAAGGGTCTCTCCCCAGTGTGAATTCTCTGGTGCTCAATGAGGTCCGAACGGTGTCGGAAGGCTTTCCCACAGTCTCTGCACTCATACTGTTTTACCTCTGTGTGGATCTGGTAATGCCGAATAAGGCTTGAGCTCCGAATGAAAGATTTCCCGCACTCATTACACTCATAGGGTCTCTCTCCTGTGTGAATTCTTTGATGGCGAATGAGTAAGGAGCTCTGGCTGAAGCCTTTCCCACACTCTTTGCATTCAAAAGGCCTCTCTCTGGTGTGGACCCTCTGGTGCCTAAGCAGATCTGAACTGTGACAGAATGCTTTTCCACACTGTGCACACTTGAATGGCTTTTCATCTGTATGTACATGTTGATGTTCAACCAGGTTTGTATAATGAATAAAGTCTTTCCCACATACATTGCACACATAGAGTCTGTCCCCAGTGTGGACTCTCTGATGTTCAGTGAGGAGGGAGTTCTGACTGAAGGCTTTCCCACAACGATCACACTGGTAAGGCTTCTCCCCCGTATGAGAAATCTGATGTGGAACTACATTTGAATTAAATGAGAAGCTTTTGCTACCAATACCACAAGAATGGGTCTCCCCTTCTATAAGCTCTCTCTGAAGTATAAGAAGATTTGAGTTAAGAGTAGGATTCCTTCCTGACTTACTACACATCTGTGCTGTTTCTCCTGTTTGAATTTTCCAGCGGGTCACTGTCATCTGTTTGAGGCTCCCCTCCTGAGAGGGAGAACTCTCTATGATCTTCCTTTCTGGATTCCCCAGCAGCTGCACTAATCTGTCTTCCTGAAATTCCCCAGGCTCAGAGACGGAAGGCTCCAGCACTGTGAGTTTGTCTGACATCATATTATGTGAATTTTCATCCCTGGAAATTCAGGCTTCAAGATCACCTTCTTGTCCCCAGCTCCTACAGTAGAATCTGAAATGAGAAAAGAAGATGGTCTTTCCCCTTTGTTAACAAGAAGCTGCTGGACAGGCCGAAGGTACATAAAATTAAACTCCCATACAAGTGAGAGAGGAAGCATCTCCTCTGCCTACACTTCGGACCCTTCACTGTTAACCAGCTTTCACCTTGCTCCAACTAACTGTCAGCATGGGAAGGCTTCTTGGGGCTCCACCTCTCATATATCCAACCCCAAGACAAATAGGACTTTGCTGTTTAAACAGCACTCCTCTAGCTTGTGACCTGTTTGGGAGACAAGAGAGATAGGGATACAGACAGGGCTCTACTTAAAAATCAAGACATGTAATTCCCACGGTCACTCAAATAAAATCGATCAGTCCTACTATTCTCCACCCTCATGGCTATCTTGTCCCTACCCAGTGTGCATCTCATGGTCCACAGTACTGCACCCACTTTAGGCTATCTGTAGCACACAGGGCTTCAGTGCTAACAGCAGTGTAGCATTTCTGACCTACAGTGACTGACCTTGAAGCCAAGAACCCAGTTAGGATCTCCATACTTCCAAACTTTCACCCTTTCAGTGGCCTTATACTCTAGTTCCCTCAATTGAATCCCTTGGTGATTGGAATGGCTCCAGTGGTCCAGTTCAGAGCCTCAATGGCACGGTTCTCGACACTTTATGTACTTTGCCCTATAAATACAAGAGTTGGCCCACCTCAGGTAAAATAAATAAAAACAACAACAAAAAACATACATCTGTGCTGAACATGTACACACCTTTTTTTGGGGGGGGGATCATTTTTCCCCACCTCAGGTAAAATAAATAAAAACAACAACAAAAAACATACATCTGTACTGAACATGTACACACCTTTTTTTTTGGGGGGGGTCATTTTTTCTTGAAAACAGCATACTTAACCTAGCTGTCACAATGTATTAGGTATGGTAAGTAGTAGAGATGACTTAAAGGACAGAAAGCTGTAAGTAGATGGCATGCAACATTACACTTTCTTTTAAAAAGCAGGGTCTCACCATGTAGTACTTACTGGCTGGCCTAGAACTCACTATATGGACCAAGCTTGCCTCACACTCACAGAGACCCACCTGCCTCTGCATCCCCAGTGGTGAAAGTAAAAGTAGTGGGAACTCACAACATTTTAGGGAAGAGACTCAAATACCTACAGAGTGAGGAGAGGGACATAATCCTCTTCATACAACTCACATGCCCTTTTCTTCCTGTCGCCGTGTGGAAGCCAAAGCTCACACTAGATTCAGCCTGTTCTGGTAATACCTACAGAGTGAGGAGAGGGACATAATCCTCTTCATACAACTCACACGCCCTTTTCTTCCTGTCGCCGTGTGGAAGCCACAGCTCACGCTAGATTCAGCCTATTCTGGATCTGTCTGAACTCTTGCTGGCCAAGTGCTCTCTACATCTACAGCCCTGATGCCCTAAGAGCTGTCAGCTATGTCTACACGAACCCAACTCTCCTTTTTCTTCTTGTTTTGAGACAGGGTCTCACTCTGAAGCTCTGTCTGTCCTGGAACTTGCTCTGTAGACCAGGTTGGCCTCGAGCTCACAGAGATACAGAGATCAACCCACCTGTGCCTCCTGAGTGCTGGGATTAAAGACCTGTGCCACCACTGCCCGGCTAAAACAATCTTTATTTGTGGGGGAGGTTTCGAGACAGGGTTTATCTGTGACTTTGGAGGCTGTTCTGGAACTAGCTCTGTAGACCAGGCTGGGCTTCAACTCACAGAGATCCGCCTGCCTCTGGCCCCTGAG